AGTTGGCACTCCCACCAGCCATGGAGGAGTGTTCCCCTTTCACCACAACCTCTCCAGCATAAATTGTCCTTGGTGTTTTTGATTTTAGCCATTCTGACAGGAGTAAGATGGTATCTCAGAGTTGTTTTGATTTGCATTTCCCGGATGGCTAAGGATGTTGAGCACTTTCTCAAGTGCCTCTCAGCCATTTTAGACTCCTCTATTGAGAATTCTCTATTTAGTTCTGTAGCCCACTTTTTAATTGGATCCTTTGGTGTTTTGGAGACTTACTTCTTGAGTTCTTTGTAAATTTTGGAGATGTAAGCCCTCTGTCAGATGTGGGGTTGGTGAATATCTTTTCCCATTCTGTGGGCTGCCTTTTTGTCTTGCTGACTCTGTCCTTTGCCTTACAGAAGCTTCTCAGTTTCAGGAGGTCCCATTTATTAATTGTTGATCTCACTGTCTGTGCTACTGGTGTTATGTTCAGGAAGCTGTCTCCTGTACCAATTCATTCAAGGGTACCACCCACTTTCTCTTGAAGACTATTTTTAAGTAAGTTGATCTTGTTAAATTTGTTTTAGCAAGATAGTAGATCATAAGGCTGTTATTTTTGTTTTTGTAATCAAGATTGTTTACTCAGTTTAAAAGATGATTAAGACAACTGTAAGACATGTATGTTAAAATTAGTGCCTGTCTACTTGTAGGCAGAATGCATGTAATCTTGTGGGTTTTGCCTTTATAAACCTTGGGCTGATGTGGCTACGGACTGCATCTTGGGAGTGTTCTTGGACACCAGTAGTAAATAAAAAGCCTCTTTTTATTAAAATTTATTTATGGTCATGGTGAATCTTTGAGGGGCCCTAGACCTATAACACTAGTCCCATACTTTATTAATAACTATAATTTAATATATGATAGGATAAGTCCTTGTTTTTTTTCAGTGTTATCTTTGCTATTTTAGCTCTTCATGTTTCTGAACATATTTTAGAAACAATGGGTCCCAGTAAGGTGGCACACACCTTGAATTTCAGCACTTGGGAGGTAGAGTCAGGTGGTAGAGCCTGAGTTCAGGTCCAGCCTGGTCTACACAGAGTTCCTATCTCAAAAACAAAAAAAAGCAAACAAAATAAGAAATAGCTTATTAATTTCAGGAGTAACAATGATAGTAGTTACAATCCCCTCTTGGAGTACTGGGTAGAGTTGGGAAGAAGTTGTGGTCTATAATTTTGATTCTTATAACCATGGTATGGATTTGTTTAACAACTCTTTTAGTATCTATCAATAAAGTTTCATAAATTACTTCACAGAGATATGGTGCATAGTTTGTTAGATCCTTGATATTATTTTTGTGTGTGCTTGATTCTCTTTTTACATGCCTGTAATCTTAGCATTAGGGAGGTTGAGGCAGGAGGATTGAAAAGCTAAAGGTCAGGCTGGTAGGCTGCAGGCTTGTTAGGGTTTCTATTGCTGTGATAAAACCAATGACCAAAAGCAACTTGAGGAGGGCAGGGCTCCTTTATTCCTACAGCTTACAATCCATCATCCAGGAGAAGTCAGTGCAGGAACTCAAGGCAGGAATCTGGGGGCAGTAACTGATACAGAGACCATGGAGGGATGCAGAGGCCACGGATCAATGCAGCTCACTGACTGGTTCCCCTGCCTTGCTCAGTTTGGACCAGCTACCCAAGGTGGCACAACCTCCCTGTGGGTGAGACCCTTCACATCCACATCTATCATTGAGAAAATGCCCCATTGTAGGCAGTTTTTTGTTGGGACCACCAGCTCCCCAATAAACACACAGAGACTTAATAATAGTTATAAATGCCAGGCTAATAGCTTAGGCTTATCTCCAGCCAGCTCTTACAACTTAGATTGATATCTATGCGCTGCCCCAGCCTCATTTACCACATCTATGAATTTTCCATGTTGCTTCTGCATCTTGATCAAGACTCCTCACATTCTACCTGTCTTCTTCCCAGCATTCTCTCTTCCCTGAAAATCCTGGCTATTGGCTAGTCAGCTTTTTATTAACAACAAGAGCAGCACATCTTCACAATGTACATAAGGGCTGCCTCACAGCACCCCATAGACTTGCCTATACTGATAGATGTACTTTGTCAGTTGATGCTCCCTCTTCCCAGATGATCCCAACTTTTGTCATGTTGACAAGAGAAGTAATTCGAACTGCTGCATCCCAGACTAGTCTAAGATATTTAGTGTGGCTCAGTCTCAAAAATCAGAACAAGTAAACAAAATCTCTTTAACAACAGTCTTTGTGTATGTGTGCATTGACATGTGATGCGTGAGTGTGCGAATGTGTGTGGTGCATGTACAAGAGTGCTCATGCGCATCATGTAGAAGCCGGAGCAGGACACTTGAGTGCTATCCTGTATTGTTCCACCCTGAGACAGACTCACTGAAACAAAGCGGAAACGAGGTTTTGGCTCAGCTGGACGGCCAGGGAACTTTCGGGATCTGCCTGTCTTGCGCAGCCATGCCACATTTGAAAAAAAATATTTTAAAATGTTTTCTTATTATTTTATGTGTATGGGTGTTTGTGCCCATGAAGGCCAGAAAAGGGCATGGGATCCCATGGGCTGGAGTTGTGGGTACTTGTGAGCTACTATGTAGGTTCTGGGAATTGAATCCTAGTCCTCTGCAAGGGAAGCTAGTACTACAGCCATCTCTCCAGCATGGTGAGGGGTTATTTACAGAAGTATTGCAAGTCAGTAGTGACTAAACCTAGAAGAAAATATCACCTCTCCCCCAGTAACCACTTTCTTACTGCCAGTCACCCCTTAGGGAGGGACTGAGCCTCTTGAGCTCCATCCTGTAAACAATCAGGAAGTGACCAGTAATCTTGGGTTAGTATGCTCTCTTTAGATGAGGCTGAGAGTGAAATACTGTTGGCAAGTTGTGTTCTGTGTTTTTAAAAATTTATCTTCAAGGTAGCAAAGTATTAGGGTTTCATTATGGCATCCTCGTGTGTGTGTGTGAGTGTGTGTATGTGTGGTGTGTGTGTGGTGTATGTGAATGTGTGTGGTGTGTGTGTGTGGTGTGTTTACATGTGTGGTGTGTTGAGTGTGGTGTAAGTGTGAGTGTGTGGTGTGTGTGTGTGTGTGATTATACTTTGTTCTTACTCAGTACCCCCTCCCCCAGCTGTCTGCCCTCAGTCCCCTTTCCCTTGTTCTTGCTGGTCTTCTTTTTCTAGTTTCATGTCTCATGAATTTCATTATTCTTACTATCTTCTTGTTTCCCATAACTCTGTTACTCCTAGTAGAAGGCCTCAATACAACATCACAGAATCAACTCGAGGAGAATTCCATATTTTTCTTTTGGAGTCCATTTTGGTGACATTTTCCTAAGAATCAACCAAACAATTTTGTATAAACTAATTGGTATAAAATTATCCTTCTAAAAACATTTTTAAAATGTGCAGTTTTTATTGCAATTCATAATGTTTCATACTGTTTCCTGCTCCTCATTATTTTTCTTGGTGGAGGTTTCTGAGCTGATGACATGGGGGTAGAATCCAGCTTTGGACAGGTCAGGAGAGAGGGTGCCATCTCATCTTGTAGTGCTCTGTTCAGTGTACAACATACCTCCATTTCTGTCCCAGCTTCATTCCTTCCCTTTTTGGGTACAGCTGTTATCACAAGCATCTTTTGATTGTTATCTGTCTTACTAGCTTAAAAAATAATCAGGAAGTGGAAAGTCAGGCTGTCAAGTCACTTACCAGGACTAGTTTACCACCAAGGCCTCTGGGACATAATTTAACTTTGGAATTTCCTTTGAAGTAACTTTTAGGTTACTGACAGGAAATGTGAGGTGCTAATCCGAATCAACAGTGCTTTGCAATGTGTTTCCAGTAATTTATAAGTAATCATTAAGTCTTTCTAATTTTTTTTTTTTTTTGGTTTTACGAGACAGGGTTTCTCTGTATTGTTTTGGAGGCTGTCGGTCCAGCCCAGCCTCGAACTCAAAGAGATCCGCCAGCCTCTGCCTCCCGAGTGCTGGGATTAAAGGTGTGCGCCACCACCGCCCGGCTTTAATTTATTTTATGTGCACGAGCGTTCTGTGCACAGTATGTTTATACCACATTTGTACCTGGCGCCTGTGGAGGTCAGAAGGGGTGTAGGGTCCCTGGCACTGGAACTGTAGATGGTTATGAAACTCCATGTGGGTGCTGGGAATTGAATCTGGAATATCAGCCAGCATTCTTAACCACTGAGCCATCTCCCCAGATTGATGGTCAACCTTAATTCCTCAGGAGGACCACTGAAGCACAGCCAGTGCAGAGCACACCAGGAAGCCATGGGGCTGGAAGGGGAGAACAGAAGCTGCATCTTCCCCGCACCTTCTGTATACACTGCCATTCTTGGGCTCTGGAAATGGTATTCAGGGCAGGTGCTTCTCATTATCCTTGTCTGACTGATGAAGAGACCAAAGCTTGACATGAAGTCACAAAGTTGGGGTGGCCTCCGAGTACAGTTATGTCTGCTTCCTCCAAAAGAACATGTAAAATCAACAGAAGGATCGTTGCTGAATAGCGTAATAATACTCACCCCCTCTACCCCCAGCAGGGTTTCTCTGTGTATCTCTGGCTGTCCTGTAACTCACTCCACAGACCAGGCTGTCCTTGAACTCACAGAGATTCACCTGTCTGTGCCTCATGAATGCTGGGATTAAACGTGTGCACCACCAAGGCCTGGTCTCACACTTTTTTTTAAAAACCTGCTATACCCAAAAAATGTATCAAAGTTGTGTTTGGTAATACAGAAATGTTATTGTCACTAACATCTTATCTATAATACTATTTCTTATAGATTCTGATTCCAAGTGAGTTTTAGAATTCATGTTTTACCAATTGCCAGGTACTAAGCTCAGCTATCTCTGTGTGGGCTGACCTGTTCTGTGACTCAGAGGTGATAGGCAGGTCACTTCATTGTCGTCGCGTTCACATGATTTCTACTGTTTTCTTTAAAGCTCCAAATCAGGTACTCAAGTGCTCACCACAGTCCTTTCATTCAGGAAGGAATATTTATTAAGAAGATATATTAACATGCTTAGATAGAAAGAAAACTGGACACATCCTTCAGTGAACTGTAATGAAGAAGATAACATGAACAAAACTCAGAGAAATTTATAGCCATAGCACGTCTTAATAATCAGAATATTGTTAGCTCTGATAATAATTATACAACATCTCTCCTGACCTCTTGATTTAAATAATTTTACAGTAAATTTTGGCAATGCAGAGTTCACAATATAAAATCCAAGGTCTGACTAGAAACGAGATAGACTTTTCACGTATTTGATAACAGAGATATGGCACATGTAACCTCCAGATTCTTGTCTATATATTAGTTTTCTTTTAAGAGAACAAATGCTGTTCATTGTTGCAAGAGGGTTAGTATTAAAATACAAATTTTTAGGACATGTTTACTCTTGGAGAGTATTATAATTAGTTGAACAAATTATTTTTATAAGGTATGTATCACTAAGAATTTAAGTTTTCCAAAGAATATGTTCTTATGTCTAAGATAACTATCTTATATTATGATAATTATCTACAGTAGTAAAATAAAATCACCTAAAATAGCAATAATGACAGCTACTGCTCGATGAACACTTATTTAATGCTTAGGCCCTGAGCTAAGCACATCATGTACATCATACAATTTAATGTTCACGATAATTCAAGTGAGCAGGCAAGTTAACCTCATCATATAAACAAAACTGAGGCTAACAGAGAGGTCAAGCAATAGCCAAATTCAAATAACTTAGATTGTAGAGTCAGGTGTCTAAGGCAATCTGTCCTACTGTGATCCAAAGCCAGGCTAATTAGTTTCATTCTGTGTCATTCATGAGAGCTCTGATTTGATGTGATAAATGTTAGTTTAACAACTTTATTTGCCACATATTTGTGAAAGCATAGTTTGCATTTTTAAGATGTGAAGCAAGATCACTTCAGGTGGAACTATGCCTCTTCCCCAGCTCCCTATTATATCTTTTTATTTACACGTCTTTCCACCTTCATTATTCTAATAAAATTATAAATGCAAATACACAGAGTACATGCAACATATTCCACAAAGGAACAAAAATGTTCATTACTACTGAATAAAGAACCCCAATTATTACATACAAAGTGCTTAAAAAAAAGACCCTATGAGATATCCAGACCATATTTATTTTAGTATTTTCCAATAATTGACAGTGAAGGCATAATTTATAAATATCTCAAATCCATTATTTTTTTACTATGAGTTGAGATTTGGTATTTCATTAATCAAGCAAGTGCCATTATGTACAATTTGATCAAAGTCACATAGCATCAAAATGAAACCGATGTGCTTCCTGTCGTTTTTCTCTATCGTCTGCTTTCTGCAAAAGAATTTTAGAGTCATTTAAATGCTCAGAAAATATTAAGATTCATTTCTGAAATACTTTTTAAAATCCTAAAGAAATTCAGTACATAACAGTTATGATTTTATAGTGTATTAATATTATAAAATACTTTTGTAGATCTAGTTGCTATTTTATAATTAAAGATACATTACTTGAATTTAAAAATCAAGAAGAAATGTTCCATACACACTTACATTATCATCACTTATTATCTACTTGAAAGTGTGAGAGTAAACATTAGATGCAAGAAGAACAGAATCACTGCTAACACTCATGTTAAGCCAACCTAAACGAACTATATTAAGATGATGACTTTTTAGTTAACCTATTGATGCAGCAGATATTTACTGACTATCTTCTATCCTAGTCAGACAGAAGAATTAAACAAAAGACAGTTTTGTATTTTGTTCTTCAAGCACTAAGGCCTAGAAAGGATAAAAACAAAACCTACTATGTATCAAATTGACCCTAATTGTATTACTTTGGGTTTGAGTCAGGAAAGGGCAAACTGAACATATTGTTTATGGAAACGGGAAGGGACATTCATTTAAAACGCGGAGTTTAGCATAAGGAAGCGTGGCGAGTGTAGGAGGTGGAAGACACAGGACAGCAGGACATGTTGTGGAGTGACATCAAGGAAGGAGTGTGGGGCCTGGGCAAGGAAAACGTACACGTTTTAGACAGTGAGCAAGAGGGTGACACAGTGTGGAGGGTAATGGGTCTAGTGCGGTACAAAGGGGAGAGGCCTAGGTCACCGGAACCCGCCTGCATCTAAGGTAGGCCTCAAGGGAAGAAGTGGCAGAAGTTAAGGCAGGCGGGGCAGCTACAGACATCCTCAGGAAGGTGGCTGGTAAACACTGACATGAGAAAGAAAGGGGAGAGGGGAAGCTTTTAATATTGGCTTTGAGGTGAGTAATCCTGGTAGAGATCAATGTTAGCTACTGGACATGGAGAAAGAAACTTTTAGAGAGAGAGAAGAGAAAATTTGAGATATAATAGTTGATTTTAGATGAAATCAACTGAAATGTAGAAAGAAGAGGGCTTTTGGCAGATGTGTAGAAAAGTCTCATTGTGAGAATGGAAAATAGCAGCAGCTGGGAGAGATATAAAACTGGGTTAGAAACAGGACCAGAGCCACAGGTGACACAGTGTGTGCATGCCTAAGCGGTCACCGTAGCTACTGTACCACAGCTGCTGTAACCCCACAATCATACCACAGCCAGCTCTCCTATGAAACCCTAGTTTCCTGTCACAGGTTAAGAGATGTATTTTGGATTGTGTTACTTTTAGACAAAGTATAGAGTCATCCTACAATCTTAAAGGTAATTGAATATATAATTTTTGGTTATTATTGCTGATATATGAGTGATCTTTCTTTGGAGTGACAAACCTATGAATATTTATCTGAATAATCAACATGTTCGCCTTTTCAAAAGTTATAAGAACAGTGGGATAAAATGATTCTGGTAGGCATGACAGTCTAAAGAAGAAAGAAAAAACTCTTCTTTGGGACAGAAGCCTTTTTGGATGATATTGCTGGCATCTATGGCTGAGTATTTGACATTACATTCTTCTTTGTGTGGTGTTATGGATTGAGCCTATGCCCTCGACCAGAGTTATATCCCAGCTTTTCAGTTATGAAGAGCAACATGCTATGATAATAAACTAACCAGAGTTACACTGAAAGACAAACCTTTTCCTGCCAATGTAAAATGGCAATTATTGCCAAGATGAAAATGCAGACACCAATGAGGGCTACTGCAGTCAGTAAGACAATGTTACTTGGTGTAAGATACAATTTGGCACTCCAGCTGTAGATAAAAACAGAACAATTAAAATTGTAAATTTTAACATGACAAGATTAAATTGAGATCAGAAAGCAAAGCAGCTTATTAATTAGTGAAATTTCACTGGTTAAATCATTCCCTCCTCTAGCAAAAACAATTAAATTTAGATAATTTGAAGAATACTGACAATTCTAAAGTGTTCATTGCTTTCTTAGAACTGAACTAGAATTTTCTTTTTCCTGTATGGTTTTGGAGATTAAATCCATGGTTTTATGTGTGTAGTGCCAACACTTTACAACTGAAGTATACCCTATCTCTCTGAAGTAGAATTGTTGATATCTAATATTTATGTATTTTAAAGTGATCTTCAGAATTATTAAGTAAGCTTACCAATAGTACTTTAGATAATCAAAGATGTCTTTTGAAAATAACACTTGTTTGAATTTTGAAATTTTAACTCTAAAGGCTCTGTAAGTCACATGATTTCATTAAGCCCATAGCATCTTAGTTTTTGATGCCCCTGTCCACACATATAGTACAAGTAAAACAATCATATGTCTGAATGGGTGTTTATTGATAGCTGTGTAAAACTTGCTCCATTCGTGTTATGTTGGATGTTTTAAATTATTACAATAGCTCGTATGTTGGGACTTACAAAGTCAATTAGCCTCCCCGATAATGTCAATATATAATGTCATCAGCATTAACATAATTAGGTTTTCTCTCTTAAAACACTATACATAGTCCAGCCCCTGTAAACACTGCAGAGCCTAAATTTGGGGTCTTTATTACTAACTCTGTGGGCAGTTATGCACACATAGCTTCTTGTTCTCCCTGGAAACAATAAATGACTGTGTTCTCATTTTAAAAGATTAATAAGGGCAAGATCATTGTAATGAACAGCAAGTAGCTATTGATTTATTTTGACATAATTAAAATTTATTGATCCATGGTTACTCTTTAGTCAGTAAATCTCAGAATGCACCTCAAACAAAAATCAATTAGGGTTTTTATTATGTATATAAATTTGAAAAGGGCATTTCTTTGAAAAGAGAAAGAGAAAAACAAAAAGTGTTCTGATTATGGAAGAAAGCTATGACAGATTTTTTTCAGAAACTTAGAAGACTAACCCTTAAGAAAATGAGTATTGTTGAGTACCTTACAGTAGAAAACAAAACTGTGTTGTTTTTCTGAGACAGGGTCTTGTTGTTGCAGCCCAATGTATCTTTGAGGTTGCCGTCATCCTGCCTCAGCCTCTTGGTACAAGGATTATAGGTGTGAGCTACTACGCTCATAAAAAGCCAGCTTTAAATAAACCATTACATTCGAATTTTTTCTGTTATTTTGTGCATGTGCATGCATGGCTATGGGGACAGAAGAGGAACTCAGATCTCCTAGAGTTGGAGTTACATGTGGTGTGAGCCACCTGGTGTGCGTGCTGGAAACTAAACTCAGCTCTTCTGCAAGAGCAGCAATCACTCTGTCATTGAGCCATCTCTTTAGTCCCTAAGCCTGGCCCCCCCTTGAGGTTTTTTTTTTTTAGTTATTTTTTTAAATAGATTTTTTTCAAAGATCAAGATATTTTTCAATTTGGTTAAAAGAGAAACATATTCAGGAGATTTCTTACATATTCTGTCAGAGATATACATACATGAGCATATATGCAGATATCTTCTTTTAAAATCATAATATGTATTTCTCCATTTGCTTGTTTTCTCTTTCTCCCTTCCTGTAACATACTGTACTATGTCCGTGGCAGTAAACATAAATGAGTCATTACAGTGTAGTCTATTGGTACTACATTTTCTAGTTTTCTTGTTCCTCATTCAGATTATATAGTTGGTTGTCAACTTCATGTGGAGAAAGATACCACTCATATACAACACTGGATCATTAAGACAAAATAGAACAAAACAAGAAACAGGCACAGGGCCAGGCATAGTAGTTCTAGGTACTCAGGAGGCTGACATGGGATGGTTGCTGGAGCCCCAGAGTTTCAGATCAGCCTAGGCAACACAGCAAGACATTCTCACAAAAACAAAACGAAACCTTAATCCACTCCAACCCTGAGCCAGGCAAATAGCTATTTTTTGTTATCTTATATATACACTGATGTGCTGGCCAGTTAGCTGTCTAGTAGAGTGGGGTAAATCTGGTTTATGGCATTAATTATTTTTCATGGAGTAAATTCTCTCACAGTAACAGACTCTAATATGACTTTACTGAATAAAGAAAGAAGATGGACATAGTGAACTCATGAGATGGCATGAACTGGTTCTAGTGTACCACCCAATGTAAAAATTGAATAAACACTGTAGCAAAGAGAGTAGCTCACTGCTAGAATGCTTGCTTGGCATGCACAAGGCACTGGGTTCAACGCTAAGCACTACAAAAACAAAAAAAGAAAAAAGAAATAGTATTTGCAACTAGTGAAAATTAAACATATATAATATGTATAAATTACTAAATTAAGCTGCCTTTTGTCCAACTAGGAATGAATATATTCCTTATGGAATACCAGGTAGATGTGGTTAACAATTTGAAATTGACTAAGTTAATTAAGTGTTGGGCACTAAGGAAAACAGAGTAGGCAATAAAGATGACAGCTTATAAAAAACACGCCATTGGATATCTACTAAATTAAGTTCAATCAAGGAAGGCTATTACCTGCGAGGGACATTGTGAGGATAAGGAATGACAATCAGCTGGGAATTTGGAATGATTGCTGTCCACTCTTGTTTTCTTATAGACTGAAAAGAGAATTTAAGAACACTTAATATATATATAAAAAACAATTATTAGTCTAAATGTGAAAAAAACCCAAACAAACAAAAACACCAAACCTGCAAGTACTTTTAGATTTGAAATCCTAGGTATGGAGGATTATATTTGTATGATGAATTCATTTACTCAACAAATACTTACTGGAAAGTTTTAGCAGGCATTATTCAAAGTGCTACAGGTAAATGCTGATTGGAACTAAACTTCAAGTCAAGAGATATATATTAGATGTGTATAAGTATAATAATGCTACTTTTATGTTAACAGATACTACTTATGCACTAAGTGATAAAAAAATGTTAAGAAACAGGTTAAGAGGATAAGAAATCACAAAGTTTAATGGAGAAAAAAATGGAAAAACTACATAATAACAAATTATGGTATGCTCTAAGATGCGCTTAGACAGGTCACTATGAACCAGTTTTTTTTGTTTTGTTTTGTTTTGTTTTTTACAAGACAGGGTTTCTCTGTATTGTTTTGGAGGCTGTCGGTCCAGCCTGGCCTCGAACTCAGAGATCTGCCTGCCTCTGCCTCCCGAGTGCTGGGATTAATGGCGTGCGCCACCACCGCCTGGCATGAACCAGTTTTTTAATTACTTAAAGGCAATAAAATATCTGAATTTGAATTCAATTATATTCAAATTATTAGACTTAAATGTTTAAGTGGTAAGTATTAAAACAGATTGTCAACAAACTGTTTACTTGCCTTCTCTCCAGATGGACGGGGAATACCAACAAAAAGATGGTCCAGGAAATTGGCACTTCGGCCTAAACCAAGTACATTGTAAGGTAATTGGAGAGCTAAGTGTGCTGACTGGCTGAGCTGTCCAGCTAGATTTATGAAGACAAAACAAACAAACAAACAAACAAAAACACCTTTGAAAACACTGTACTCATCAAGTCTTGAAGTCCTAAAATGTTTAATTCAGTTATAAAATGTGAGATGAACATTTAGTTAATTAATATTAAGGATTCATGGTTCACAAAAAGTCCTTTGACATACAATTCCCATTCTATAAATGATATCCACTTATAAAGTATGGTAAAATGGCTTTGAGACTATTCTAAGCGTTCACCTCAGTGAGAACAATGTAATTTTAGGATATTTTAATGACTTGAAAACTTGATACCCAAGGCAGTACTCTTGTCGGCAGTGCTACACTTCCTGCTGTAGGCAAGCTCTCTCACCTGCCTATTCTGAAGACTGCATAGAACACAGTCATGAAATATATGGACTTTGTAACTGGCTTCTTTTACTTGATATGTTCTCAAAGTTCATACTATAGCATGTTTCACTACTTGATTAACTGCCAAAGAACATGATACATACTATATTTTGCTTCATTAATTAATTTCATTAATAGACTTGGGTAATAAACTTTGGTTATCATATAATACTACTATGAAGATTAATATACAATAATATACATTTTTGTATTTACTAGATTATATACCTAAGAATATGGATGATAATTAATTGCCAATTAGGCACCAGAGATAATCTCTGGTGTTCTTAACATAAAGCAATCATAAATGTTTCAGGTGTTAGATTTGCCAGTTATCCTGATGTAGTCATTATACATTATATACACGTACAGAAAGGTTACATTGTACCCCATAAATATGTACAATTATATCTATCAATTAAATGCAGTGTATGTAATGATAAAACGTACCTGTCCCATTTCATACTCATACAAGCAACTGTATGTATGATGGTCCAAGATTTTCCATATCCTAGTGAACACTTATCACCATCTTGATGGCTGGGAAGCAGCATCTCTGATATCAGAGTTTAACTTGTATTGCCTATTAACAAATGATACTGAACTTCTATCAAGTACTTGCTGTTCAATTGTATATCTTTTCACCTTTGTGAACTTAGTAGTTATCTATTTCAAACTGGATTTTTGTCTTTTTTTCTGATCAATATAAGTAAAGACTTGCTAGTTTTTAAATGTTTCAGAAGTATCCTTCGGTTTGCTGTTTCTCTATATTCTCTGTTTCATTTATTTTCTGTCTTCTGATTAGGCTTAGTTGCTTTATGTTTCCAGTTTCTCAAGGTGAAAGATTACAATACTCATTCCAGACAGCTATTTCCATGAGGTCTCTAGCCCAGGCTGGATTGGAACTCCCTATTTTTCAAGAATTATCTTGAATTCTGCATCTCCTGCTTTCACGTCCAGAGTTCTAGGGTTACAGGCATAAGTCACCAAAACAGGCCTCAGAGGTGCTGGGGGGCAAATTCCGTGCCCCTTGCACAGCAGACAACTATTCTCCCAGCTCAACTATATCCCTGTCTCTGTTCTTTTTTAAATGTAGGCATTTGGAGCAACATATTTCTATGTAAGAAAGATGAGCTGCATTCTAGATTTTAGTATGTTGTACTTTTTATTTCACATTTACTTCAGAGTATTTCCTCATTTCTTTGAGTTTTTAAAAAAACATTATTTACTTTGGAGTGTGCTATTTGATTTTCATGCATTTACAGATTTCTAAAATATTCGTGATTTTTAAAGAAGACTTACTTACGAATGCGTGCATGTGCCTTTTGATGGAGTGCTTCTTTCATTTACTTTTAAAACAATTCCTGATAACAGAATTTATGTCTGTGCCTGCATAGGTCAGCCGAGGATGTCAGACCTCTGGTCACTGCAGTCACAGACACTGTCGGCCACTACGAGGGCGCTGGGAACTGAACCTGGATCTTCTGCAAGAGCAACAAGTGCTCTTAATGACTGAGCCATCTCTCCAGAACCTCAGTGTTGTTTTTTTAAATATATTTTAAATATAAAGTTAAATATATTGAGTGTCACTATCTCTTGTGGTTGCCCTGGGGATTTCAATTAACTGCACAGAAAAAAAAATCAAGTTCAGGTTAATAGTAATCTAATTCAACGGTCATATAAAAATTTGCTTCAGTATAACTGTTGATCTGATTTGTATGGATTTAAATCGCTGTCTGTATCAGGCTTAAAGGGATCTATTAGTGTTCAATGGGGGATGTCCTTCTGTATGCTGTGAATATGTGCTTCTCTTATTGGTTTAATAAAATGCTGATTGGCCAGTAGCCAGGCAGGAAGTATTGGCAGGGCTACCAGACTAGGAGAATAGCCACCAGAGAGACACCATGTAGCCACCAAAAGAGTAACATGCCTGAGCATTATGGATACGCCACAGCTTTGTGGCAATATATAATTTAATAATTAAGAGAGAGCTAGCCAATAAGAAGACTGAACCATCAGCCAAACATGATTTATGTAAGCCTCTGTGTGTTTATTTGGGACTAAACAGCTGTGAGACCAGGCGGGACAGAACTTCTGTCAACACCTTTCAGCATATATAATGCATTATCCACTACCTTCTTGCCTACAGATGATGTGATAGTTTACTTTTTGTTGTTTTCAAGAATATTTCTTTAGAGTATGCCTTAGTATGGGTCTTTGGGTTTATCCCATTTGAAGTTTGCAGATTGTCTTGGATGTAGTCATAAAATTTGGGTGGTTTTAGCAATGACTTACACATTATTTCTGCTTTTATCCATCCTAAAATTTGTATTATCAATACATTGATATCCTTGGTGGTATCTCCACAGGTCTCTGAGACCCCAGACTATTACTTTTCTTTTTTCTATAACTTAAGACTAGATACCTTCTGATGGAAGCAGAAGCAGCTAAGCACTGAGTTGAACTACTGGAATACAGTTGTATGGAGAGAGGAGTGATGAGCAAAGAGGTTAGGACCATGCTGGAGAAACCCTCAGAAACAGCTGACCTGAGCAGTGGGAGCTCACGGATTCCAGACTGACAGCTGGGGAACCTGAATAAGACCAAATCAGGCCCCCTGAATATGGGTGTCAGTTGGGGAGGGGGCTTGGGCAGTCTAAGGGGCTGCTGGCAGTAGAACCAGTATTTATCCCTAGTGCATGAATAGGCTTTTGGAGCCCATTCCCTGTGGAGGGATCCTCTCTCAGCCTAGATAAACAGGGGGAGGGTCTAGGTCCTACCCCAAATGATGTGACAGATTGTGATGATCCGCTATGGGAGGCTTCACCCTCTCTGAGGAGTAGATGGGGGTGGGATGGGGAGATGGTTGGGGGGGGTGGGAGGGCAGGAGTGAGAGGGAACTGGGACTGATATGTAAAACAAGACTTTTTAATTTAAATAAAAAATTAATAAAAAGGGCTAGATACCTTCAACCGATACATATTCAAGAGTTCAGATTATTTTCCTAGTATAAACATCACAGAGCCAGCTACTAATATTTTCAAATACTGTACTTTCCAACTACAGAATTACTTACTACTTGTTTTTTTTTGGTAGGTCTGAGGCCTGAACTGAAGGATGCATACATGCTGGGAGTTACTATTACTGGGCTGCATTCCTACCTCTATCTGATTGAAAAATGACTCTATTTATTAGTTTCTTTTAAGACTTTGAATATTGAGATGGCTGATTTACAGTCTCTATCTACTAAATCCAGTATCTGGCACCTTAGACATATTTTCTCTTTTGGTAAGTATATATAGTACACTTCTGTTTCTCTATATGACCTGTAAATTTTGTTGAAAATGAACATTTTGGGTAACACAACAACTAAAATGTATATTTATCATGACCTCCCTCCCAAAGTTAGTTGTTTATGCTGTACTGTTGTTTATTTATTGACTGTATTTGGCACTGCATTTGCTATGACAAAATGCCCAGCAAAAAAACTTAAGGAAGAATACTTTTATACAGATGTAAAAATTCTCAGTAAATAAATCATATACCATGATCAAACTGGTTTCTTTCCTAAGATTGCTTCAACATATGCAAGCCAGTACGTACAATATAGCATAGAAATAGACTAAAGGACAGAAAACACAAGGACAGCTCAACGGTCTCTGACAATGCTTAACATTTCTCCATAATAAAACCTCTGAAGAAAGTAGGGAATAAAAGGAACACATTTCAACATAATAAAAGGTCACATATGACAAATCTATAGCTATAATTATATGGAAAATGAAGACCATTTCCTCTAAAAATCAGAAAGACAGTATTCCCTCTCCTCACTGTTATTCAGGTAAAGTGCTGAAGTCTAAGTTAGGGTAAAAGAAACAAGAGGGTTACAAACAGCAGTCAATTTATTTCGTTTGCAGATGTTATGATCTTGTATGTCAAAGACCCTAAAGATCCCACTAGAAAATCCTTAGACTTGTAAACACAGCAAAGTGGCAGAATGCAAAAGCAATATATAGTAGAAGGTCTCTATAAATGATAAACTTGCTGAGGAAGAAATCAAGGTTCACAACTGCTTTAAAAAATATCCAGAATAGCCGGGCCGTGGTGGCACATGCCTTTAATCCCAGTACTCGGGAGGCAGAGACAGGCGGATTTCTGTGAGTTCGAGGCCAGGCTGGACTGATAGCCTCCAAAACAATACAGAGAAACCCTGTCTCATAAAAAAAAATCCAGAATAATTCTAAGGATATAAAAGACTTCTTTTTAAGACACTGAAAAAAAAAAGACATAGGAAGATAAAAATGCATCTAAAACTTATGGATTGTCAAAATAGTATTGTGACAATGGCTATATTATCAAAAGTGATACAGATTCAATTCTGTGCCCATCAAAATCCCCATGGCATTCTTCACAGTACTAGAGAAGCAATCCTAAATTTCATAGAGAAGCAGATAAGATTCCACACAGCCAAGGCCATCCTTAGCTGAAAGAACAATCAATACTAGAGGCATCTCAGTTTACCTGGTCTCAAATTAGAGAGCCACAGTGATAGAATCAGCATGGACCTGGCACCAAAACAGACACACTGACCAAGAGAATAGGAGTAAGCTCACACAGCTATCACAAGTGAGTAAAAATAAACACTGAGCTGGGTATTTGTGAAAGCCCATGTCTGTAATCACAGCACTAGTGAGGCTGAGGTGTGAGGACTGTCATGAATTTCAGGTCGGCTGAGTATATAGAGTAAAGACCTCAATGAAAGACTTGAAAGTGGAAGGAGAGGAATCTTTTAAGTTAATGGGCCCAGGCCAGGGTTCTCTGAAAAGAACTTCAGATCATAGCAACCGTCCAAAGAACTGTGTTACATGAAACTAAAGCTTTTGCTCAGCAAAGGAGACAGCTTCAGAATGAGGAAAAAAGAGAAGCTTTTCCAACTCCATGTCAAGCATGGAAATAATATTAAGGATCTATAAAGAGCTTCAAAAATTAAACACTAGAACCTCAAACCATCTAACCAATAAATGGGCTAATGAACTGAATAAGCTTCTCATAGAATTACAAATGGCCAATAAAAACTAAAAGAAGTGTTCCAACATTTTCAGCCATCAAAGAAATGCAAATTAAAACTACTTTGATATTCTACCTTAACTCTGTTCAGAATGGCTTTTATCAAGAAATAGGACATCTGCTGTGAGACTGTGTCTTTCATATAGTTCAGGAAAGCTCAACAGTACAGTAGCCTAAATAAGACCGGGCCAGTGGCAACACCAGCTGACATGTCAACATGCATGGGGGAAGCATCTCAAGACTCCAACTCCAGACGAAGAACTGCAGTAATTAATGACTGTTGAGAGACAGGGATAGGCCCATAATTGTTATCCAATATTAAGGTGCCAGTCCTAAAAACATACACATATGAGCAGCAGTAAATGAACCTAGCAGGAGTGTGTGTGTAACAATAATGAAGAAAGAAAACAACAACTAGTGTGACAGGTCTGGTAAAGAGTAGCTCTTACTGCTGGTGAGATATGTGTAAACTCAGATGGCCACTGTGGAAATTATAAATTATAAATCATTCTCACCACTCCCCCCCAAAACAAACCCAAATCCAAAACCTGAAAACAGAGCTGCCACATGGCCCATCTATAACACTGTGGGATGGTGTGTGCACGAATATACACACAGATGTATGAGATGGCAAGTCAGCATACCACAGAGATACTTGCACATCTATTTATGTTGCTGTACTATACAGCTAAGAAACAACCAGACTAGATGCCAGTCAACAGATGAGTAGATGAAGATAATGATGTACATACACATGATGTTATTTTATAAGTAAAAATGCAATCATGACATTTTTAGGTAAAATAGAAACCACTTTTAAAATAAGTCAGACCAAGAAAGTCAAATACAGCATGCTTTTGCTCTCGTATGTGGAATCTAGATTTAAACATGTATGTGGTGGGGAGAGAAGGAAGAGATTTGAAGGGGAGGTGAGAAAACATAATGGAGTACAATTGGCATGAAAGAACTCCGTGAGAAAGGAGGGGACAGAGCAGTGTGTGTGTGTGGGGGGGGAATTAAAAAAGAAAATTCATTACTTTGTATGGTAACCTAAAAAAAATAAAAAGGAACATGGTAAGACTTGGGATAAAAAGGCTAATGATACAAGTTGAATAAAATGATGTTTTCTATAGGACCTTAGAGCATTTCCATGGAACCACCACATTTTAGAGGATCTTTAGTTTTAACTGTACGTTGTGGTAACAAACATGGATGCAAAATTTACCATCTTAGCTATCTATACCAGTGCCGTCACAGAGCACCAAGCATCTTCATACAGTTGTATAGCCATCACTACTTGTCTCCAGCTCTTTTTTTTCTATTTTTGGTTTTTCAAGACAGGGGTTCTCTGTATTGCTTTGGAGGCTGTCCTGGAACTCACTCTGTAGACCAGGCTGGCTTTGAACTCACAGAGATCCTCCTGCCTCTGCCTCCCAAATGCTGGGATTAAAGGTGTGCACTACCAACACCTGGCTCCAGAGCTCTCAATTAAAAATCATTATTGCACTTAGCCCTATTTTCTTGCAACCATAGTTGTACTCTCTATATATGGATTCTGCAATGAGGCTATCTCATATAAACACAATCATATAGTATTTGTCTTTTTGTGACTGGATTATTTTACCTAGTACAATGTTCTATAAATTCATTTATGTTGTAGCATGTGTCAACATTCCTTGTAAGTCTGAATATTTTTCATTTGTATATTCTACATATTGTTTATCTACTCATCTATACATGGATACTTTTGACACTGTCTCAATAAACTAAAACAATAAGAACAACAAAGAAACTTTGGTTTTCTCAGGAAAACTGCTTTGCATGAAATCTCCAGCAGTGGATTTATTTCACAACATGGTGATTCTATTCACTTCCAAGGCATCAACACACTGTTTTCCACAGAAGCTTCATGGTTATTTTTTCTTCACCTTAGTCTGCACCTGTTAACTTCTTGTGGGAGGGTGTGGGTGGCAATGGTGGTGTGTGTAGAACTTGCATGCGAATATCTGGATATATGTGCCTGTGCATGCATAGGTCCATTATTGTTTGCTTATTGCCTGAGATGAGGTCTCTCACTGAACCCAAAGCTTGCCATTTTGGCTAAGTTAGTTAGTCATTTAGCTCTTGGAATCTGCCTGTTTGTAACCCCCAATGTTGGGGTTACAGGCACTATATACTTTTTATGTGGGTGCTGGGGATTTGAACTCAGATTCTCATGCTTGCAGAAGAAGCAGTCCTACCCACTGAACTATTTCCCCAACCTCGAATTCTGATAGCGCCAATTATTCTTTTATTTACATGAGTTTGGGTATCTTTTCATGTGCCTTTTGAATACCTCTGTATGTTTTAAGATCTTTTTGGGAGGTGATAAGTATATGCACCCTTATGTTTAATTTTAAAGTAGTTATAATTGCATAGACTCTGTGAATACTCACAAGTGAGAGTATGAAAAAAATCAGTGCTATGAGGAATAGCAGACATTTTAAAATTAATTCAAAATTTAAGAAGTTCATTCAGTCATTTTTGTTTCAAATATCTAGTTCTCTAAATTGAAAACAAAACTAAACTTCTAGTGTTGGGGCAAAATTCCATTTTAATAGTAACAAGTTAAGAAACCACTATTGTCTACTTTTCTAATTATTTTAGTGGTTTCCACTTATGTGAAAGACAAATAAGTTGCCTTATAATAATGAGTATCTAACTCACTCCAGGAATGTTTCTGATGTGACCGAGATTATAAACTATTTATTGTTCATAGAAGAATGCTGGTTACTTAGGGAACATAAAAGAATGGCATAGGCAATAGTAGGTAGTAAGAACTGCATGAATCCTCATGTCATTCCTCAGGTCTGTTGCTGTCAAGACACCACCTGGCAACTCATATACAGGGAAGCATTTAATTGAGACTGGCTTACAGTTTCAGAGGTTTATCTAATTGTCATGGCGAGAAGCATGGTGGCATGTAGGCAGACATGGTACTGGAGAAGGAGCTGAGAGATCTGCAGACATCAGGAAGAGAGAGCCTCTGGGCTTAGCTTGGGCTTTTGAAACCTCAAAGCTCACCCCCCATGACACAGTTCCTCCAACAAGGCCACACTTCCTAATCCTTTCAAATAGTGCCATTCCCTGATGACCAAGCATCAAATATACGAGTTTTTGTGGGCTATTCTTATTCAACCACCACATACATTTTTTTTCAACCCCAAGAGAGCATTGTGCCTTACTGAAAGTCTTAAGAACTGCATTCAACAAATACTTGGGTATCCTTGAATGGATGAGAACCATAGAGACAGATTAAGATTTAGTCTCAATGAGGACTCATGGGAGGTTAAGATGGAGAATTACTAATTGATACAGGCCCCCTCTCTACCCTATGGCAGATATCACAGAAAAGTACAAGATAAAGTTCTATAACACTTTGTGTAGTTTATTTCTAGTTTGGGGAGTGGGTTTAGCTACTATTGTCAGACTTAAAAGTGTTAAGGCATAGGAATGAGAAAAGGTGGAGACTAGAAAGATGAAAGGGCCTGGGACATGGAGATAGATTAGATGTACGGGAACTCAAGCTGGACATGTATAACACATATAAAAGGAACAGAAATGAATACAGATGATAAGGAGTTCAGGGTTCACTTCTCAACAAGGAGGAAGGTACTTGGATAAAAACTAAGCTTTGCATTAGAAAGATTAATTTCTACAACTAAGCTTCTAGGATACTTCAATATTCTGAAAGTTAACCTTTGATACTGGAGATGAAATGGAAACTTTTATAGTGAACTAGAACAGAGGTAGTGAGAACAAGAGAAAATACAGACACATGATTTGGTCAGTATATGGGTCTGGATGGGAGCTACGGGCACTGTGCTGTGCAGGCACAGTGAACAAGTCTGTACTATGGCGTTTTGTTTTTGCCTCTGACTCTGTATGCTATTGTCAAGTTTGTAATGCACAATGCACAAGGAAGCACAATAAAGAATGTGTTTCAGGGCAGAGCCAAACTGAAAGCTCAGATGCCCACCAGGCAGATGACTTACAACACGATTCAATTAGTAACTTCCTCTTAGTTTATGTTTTAAAATTTAGTTGAATACCTCATTTAAGTGTAATGCTTTGTTTCTAATAAACTTAAGATAAAGGTTACAAATTAATAAAGGTGATGGCCGATTGTTATTTTGTACATATATTACCCTACTGTACTTAAGTTTTAAGGTTCAGTTTATAGGAACCGAGTTCTTTATATGGCATTACTTATAGTTAACTATAGTAAAAAATAATCTCATGCCTATGCATGCCGAGTGTTTCCTATGCTTCAGGGACTTCTACACGCCATTAAGTCTGTGATTTCAACCTTTACTGTTGTACATAGCTGCTTTGCATGGTATACTGACAATAACCAAATCTGAACTACTGCAACAAAACAGAACATACCAGGAGTGTTAAGAGCAATATGAGACATAATAAGATTATTTCACACTAAACATATTTACACAGTAGAGGAATTATTTCAACAGAGTGTAGCAGAAACAAGTAATATTCCTTTTCTCATCTCCTATTCCCAAAGATGCTCATATTGACTGTAAATATTTTACAAGAAATTAGTCTGAAGGGTTACTTTGGAAAATGGCAGATGACGGGCATAGTCTGCTAGAATCTTTAGGGAGCACACTGGAGAAAGTTGGACAACAGCCATAGAAAGATGAGTAATGGCCCTAAATCTAGTTTAATAGCAAAGTAAAATTGGAACCCTTACAAAGCAGAATAAGAAAAAAGCTAGTGTCCATCCTGGAGGAAGGAACTGATGTGTTTGGGGAGCTACTCCTGCCTCTAGACTATGGAGTGAGGTCTGCACACAATGTTCAGCAAGGTGGAAACCTGGTTGAAACTAGGGTCTGTATTGCAACACAGGTTACAAGTGGCACTCCTGACATCCTGAAGAACTTCTCAGGGGTGAGTACAGTATTCATGAGACCACTGGTATGACCAGCCTTTATGATCTGGCCGGTGAAAAGCTGCCCACCAATGGGATCAACATCCATGATGTCTTTACAAAGAACTGCTCAGGAGCATGACAGCCATCATGGAGACAGAAAAAGAATGCTCAGAGTCAAGACATGAACCACAAAGCAGGCAAGAATCTCAAGGTAGAAGGGCTGAACATTTACACAATGGCCAAGATAAACTATGAACAGAACATTTAAGATCTATAGGAAACTGTAAAAGATCAAATTTACGACTCATAGGCATAGACAGAGAATTTAATGTTTAATGGCATGGAAAACATCCTCAAGTTATGATCATTCAACCCTCGAAGTCTTGTTATACTGTGATGAGAAAACCATTTTCCAATAAAATAATAGATTTCTTAAATCTAGAGAAAGAGGTGTCCATCTGGGTACAGGAAGAATTTAGAATACCAAATACACACCATCAGACGAAAAACTCCCCCACATCACAGCCAAAACACTAAATATATAAAACAAAGGACATGTCCTCCCTGACAGCAGGAGAAAGAAGTAAAATATAAAGGCAATCTCATCGAAGTAACAGCAAATTCCACAAAAGAAACTTTAACTGAAGTAAAAAAACAACAAATGCTCAGCGAGGATGTGGGCAAAACAGAACACTTAGTCTTCTGGTGGAAATGTAAGTAGTTCAGCCACTATGGAGATCAGTATGGAAGTTCCTCAAAAACTAAACCCACATCTACCATATAATATAGCCCAGGTCTCACACTACTGTGCCTTTATTTATCCAAAGAATCCAAGTCAATACACCACAGAGATCTTTATTGCATATGAATGTTTATTACAGCTCTATTCACAAGAATTAAACTATGGAACCAACCAAAATGTCCAACAACAGAGGTAAGGAATGGGTAAAGAAAATATGCTATTTATATACAATGGATTTTTTTCCAGCCATGATACTATGCTGCTTAGAGTCAAGTGGAAACAAGTGGAGATAATCATATTACATGAATTAAGCCTATCTGAGAAAGAGAAATACTTTATTTTCTCTCATTTTGTGCTCCTTTAATTATATACAATGTTGTATATATATATATATATAGGTCATGAAAGCAGAAGTAATCCAGTCCAGGGGAATTATTATATGGAGAGAGTTGTGGTGAGTACAATAGAGACATACTCAATGTACATTTGTGCTTTTATGAGAATATCCTTACTGTTACACAGTATTATGTACAATGAAAATATACAATGAGAAAAGAATCCTGATTTGAGCTACACTGTAGCACTTTCTGGGAAGCATCACCAAGAATTCTCTCATGGCAGTGCTTCTAGCTGTCAGTGCTTAAGTATTTCATTTTGAAAGTTGGTGAGCAGCCTCCAGTTGTATTCATGCACTGCACCTGTAACAGTACCAACTTGCTAGTACATTTCTCTCCACTGGACACTACATTCACATGTCCTTAGTTTTTCTTCTAGTCCAACCCATTGTTTTATGTGCTTTTCACAGTGCTCCCAACAGATGCTTACAGTTGCATTGTTTTCATGTAGTGAAGAAGCAAACACAGTAGGGGGCTGACTAGCATAGATACTGTACCTCAATAATAAAAAGCTCAGGAGAAATCAGGACTTCTTGTGAATAGGTATATAAAGATATATTTGGAATATAATTTTAAGGATAAGAGTGGGGCAATACAGGACTTTAAGATATTAGTTTATAGTTGTGATAAGTAAGAGACTTTCTCATTTTAAAATAAGTAACAGTCAGTCCTAAGACAATCTCCCTTGTGTTGGTGTGAAATAAGTAGTTATTGAAGTGTAAGTGGATTTAAGTTGCTGATGAGTAGATATGCGTTTCACTGGTAATTCACTAGTGGAGGTAAGTTTTGGATCTGGAATGTGCTAATTTGCCTGAGTTTACTAATATTGTGAAATAAATGAGTCTCAGAGCATCTCACTTAGCAGTGAAATTACTTGATATTAAGAAAGAATTAACAGACAATAAAAATATATGTACAGGAATTAAACTTAAATGACTTCTTTCTTGTAATGATACATCAAAATATTTGACTGTAATAGTCTTATTGGAATGTTCCTTAAGTTTTTAGAATTGTTTTTGTTTTTTACAGAATGCTTATATGCTGAAGTAACAATATGATCCCCCCCATAGGGTTTCTCTACATGTACCTGGCTGTCTTGGAACTCACTTAGCAGACAAGCTGGCCTGGAACTCACAGAGATCCCCTGACTGCCTCTGCCTCCTGAATGCTGAGGTTAGAGAATAAAAGGCATGTGCCACCACACTCACCACAATGACTTCTTAAATGCTTATAATTAGCAACAAAATAAACTCATTGTAGTACATTTAATTCATGTAAGTTCATTATATAATACAAAATTGGCCACTAATATTCTTTCTGCTTATTGTAGCAAGCCTGTTTATAGGCAAGAGTCTAGGATTCACAAGAAATCACACAAAGTTGGGATTTTATTCTTTAGGCAGGTAGCTGGATTTACTGTAATTAGAAAGGATTTGAATCTTGGGTATCAGTCACATGCAGACAGCTTTCAGTCTTTTTCCTTTTGTCTTGACTGAATTTCTCCATAGTATTTATTGCAATGTACAAGCAAATTGTGCATTTATAAAATTATATCAAAAACATCTCTCTAAATTTTAGACCTCTTATTACACTTTTGAAAATATAGGATTAATGTAGATTTGTAGTATTAATTGATTTCTAACTTCACTTCTCTTAAGATAAGCTAATTTATATGATTTACCAAGTCAATCTTTAAGATAACTCATTACCTCTCATTTTCTGTTTTTCAGCTGAGAAGGCTAATAAGTTTGGTTCATCACAGTAATAATAAATGCAGAAATCAATGTTGATATTTTTGTTTTGAATGGTTCTTGAAATTTGTTAATGTATGTCACGGAAAAAGTACAATACAAGAAAACTTTACTCAGAGTTGTGACACATGACTTTTGATAGCAGCTTGCCTTTCCTGTATATTGAAAGAAGATGCCTTACATGTTGTAGGTATCCCACAGGGCCTTACCTGAGCCATTTTTCAGATATCCATTTGCATCAACTGTTGTGTACATAATATAAGGTCCAGGCTGATTCACTCCAAAGGGCTGCAGTAAGAAAGGAAATAATTGGTCTTGGAAAATAAGTGAATGATTTATATAATTAAAAAAAAAACCAAAACCAAAAATGAAGAATATTTACTTTTAGACACATCCATACATTTGCACTGTATCTTGATCATATCCAACCTGGTTCTCCCCTCATAGCTCCAAAGCTCCCAGTGCCCCACCCCACTTTTCATTGCAGGATTCTCCGAGCTCTACCTACTGATTTGCTATGGGTCTCTGCATTTGCTCCTATCAGTTGCTGGGTGAATCTTCTCTGATGACAATTATGCTAAACACCGGACTGGTTACATAAGTTGGCTCCTTCAAGTTCCATATCCCCAATTACTAGGAGTCTTTACTAGGGTCACCATCATGGATTCCTGAGAGTTTCCATTGCATTTCACCCCTGAAATGCCTCCCAATTCCAGTTGTCTTTCCCAATCTCTCCCCACCAGCCACCTAATCCTTTCTGTTGCTATCCATACTTGCCCCAAGTCCACCCTTGACATCTCTATCCCCTTCCCAGGGAGATGCATGCATCCTCCCTTGAGCCCTTCTTGTTACTAAGCCTCTCTGCATCTGTGGGTTGATAGTAGCACGATTATCTGCTACTTTACAGCTTATATCTACTTATAAGTGAGCACATACATGTCATACACAAACCAATTCTTATGTATGTCTTAAATAATCATTAGCTTCCTAAAAGAACATTTCCATAAACAGCTAACAGTTCAAATTAAACCTGTTGGTGGAAAATTATTAACATTACAGTTCATTATTATGTGTGTGTATGTGCAGGTATTTGAGTGTCACAGTGCATGTTTGGAGATTAGAGGACAACCTGCAGGAGTTGGTTTTCCCTTCCTCCACATGGATCTTGGAGATCAAACTCATGTCATCAGGCTTGGCCTTTACATGCTAAGCCATTTCACTCATTGGCCCTAGCAGAAAAGTCCTAATATCTTATATTACTTGATAGTTGCATCTATATAGTGCAGAATTTTAACCGAGTATTTTAAAGACCAAATGTTTCTGCTTTATAAGGGTATTTTAAGCAAACTTTTCTTTACTATTCTGGTTTTATAGGGAACAAAATGACAAGAGTTTCAGAGTAAGGGATGCAGGCTGTGGTAAAGTGCCTGAAACACTGAGTTTGATTACCAGTACTGAGAAACCCTCAAACCTGGAAGCAGTTTTATCATTATATTTTTTCTTTTGTCTTCTTCCTCTCCCACTTATTTTCTTCTTTCTCTGTTTGATTTTTTTTTTGAGACAAGGTCTTTCTACATAGCCCTGAATGTCCTGGAACTCACTCCCTAGACCAAGCTGGCCTTGTATTCAAACCTGCCTGCCTTTGCCTTCCAAGAGCTGGTATTAAAGGTATACATCACCACACCCATCTTGTTATATTTATATTGAATTGGACATATGCTACAATTTCTTACTAATGCATGCAAATGATAAATTCTACTTACAATTATGATAGTGAAAATACTATTAGTCCTATCATATGTATACTTTTATACATTTAGAGAAAATTAATTCCTGCTTTGTCCCTGGAATCAGAGCCAGTGAAAGAAATACAGCCTGGCCCTAAAACTAGAGCCAAAAGGCTAAAAAGGACCAGTGAAAGAAACACACTTTGGCCCTGAAACCAGAGCCAAATCTGACCCTAAACCTGTGCAGAAAACTAACCAATCCCTGAATAGGAGATCTAGCCATCCTAAACTCAGGGATTGAAATCTGACTAATCCCCACCTGGAAAAACTCCCCTCCCTAAGAATTCCTATATAAACCCTGCTCAGCTTGTGGCTGTCTGGCTGCCTGGCTGTCCTCTGCCAGAAGGCAGCCACTCTCCTGGATTCTTCCGTCCCAATACATCTCTTGAATGAAGTTTGGGTGAGACCTTCTTTCCCCAGAGGAGAGAAAACCCAGACCAGATCTTTTTGCCCAGGGAAACCTTCCCTTGGCTAAGCAAAGATATTACACCCCACTCTCCAGGGGACTGGAGCTGAACTGTAACAACTTTGCCCGGGGAAACCGTCTCCTGCTGGAGCAGAGCTGATACACTCGGAAAGCCTCTCCCTGAAGCAGGGCTGGAATCTGTTGTGCTTACTGTGACCTGTGGTAATTCGTGGCTCCTAATTGCCAGAATTCCCTTCCATCCAAGCTGTAACACTCAGTATTTTGTGACTCCCAAGTGCCAGAATCCATACCTGTCTATCCCATCCGATCCGTCAAAATGCTTACAATTTCCAAACACAGAATAACAACTTTGATTATAACCCATGACTATTATGTGTATATTTATCTATCTGAAGAGAATGAAAAAAGATTATTTGTATATTGATTTTATGTGCATGAATGTTTGCCTGAATGTATGTATATAGCACCCGAGGAACCCTCAAGAGCATGCCAGATCCCTAGACATAGAGTACGGATGGCTGTTGAGAACTGAACCTGGGTTCTCTGCAAGAGTAGCAAATGCTCTTAACCACTGAGCTAACTCTCTAGGTCCCTGAAGAAAATTTCACAGAAATATTTGTGATGAAGAATTAAGTTTACTTACTGTTATTTTACGAGGACAGTCATTAGAACACAGACCACTAAGAACTGTGGAAAGATAAAGAACAGCCTATTACTACTGTTATCAGCTTACATTATTTTTAAGATCTAAGATGTAATTCCCCCAAAGTCTATTAATACATTCACTGAATCATGATCACAGAGAGGAACCATTTCAATTTCTGAACAAATTAAATTTTACTTTATACCTATATATCTTTTAAAAGTAATTAAGAAACATTAAAACCTGTTTACACATATGTTCATGCGTGGGGATGTGGATATCTATGTGACAAGTGTATGTGGGAAGGTTAGAGATAAACTCTAATAGCTATCTTCCAATTTCTGATAAAAACTCTCAGTACACAAGGAAGCAAGTGAGCCTTTTACATATGACCCAAGGAGAAGCCCTTGTATAGCTAATTTGCCTTATGATGCTCATGAGGGGAAGGAGGCAAAGATGTTCACTCTTATTTTTCCTAGCTAGCACAATAAAGACATAAAAGGCATGGAGATTAGAGAGAGAAAGAAAGAAAAGTGTTTCTCTTTGCAAATGACTTTCTATAAAAAAAAACTCTCCCAAATTATTTAAAAAATACCTTCCGTTGGGTGGTGGTGGCGCATACCTTTAATCCCAGCACTTGGGAGGCAGAGGCAGGCGGATCTCTGTGAGTTCGAGGCCACCATGGTCTACAGAGCGAATTCCAGGACAGCCTCCAAAGCCACAGAGAAACCAAAAGCAATGAAACAAACACACACAACCTTCCTAGACTCAAGAAGTGAGTTCAATGCTGCTGTATTCAAATGTTTATTTCCACATACTAAGAAGGAGCATGTAAAAACTAAACTGAAAACACAATAGCAGTATTTAAAGACTTTGCAGAGAATGGCGGCACACACGTAATAAAGGCCTTTATGAGCACAGACAGCAGTGAGAGGCGCCTGCAAGGAACTGGTTACAGAGAAGACAGCACAGGAAGTGAGGCGAAAGTCTCACTGCTACAGAGGACACACGTGGAGAGATGGAAAAGAACTTGAAAGTATTGTGTTGGATTAAAAATGGAAGTAGTGGCAGGATCCATTGTTTTGTCAGACATATGACTAGATGAAAAGGCATGTGAAGCCTGACTTCTATTTTCCGCTTTTGTCCAAAATGAACTTGGAGGAAATGACAAGCCCTAACAGGTACACCAAGCATTCAGAGCCTGGGTTTTGCATACATGGAGAACTGCGTGTTGTATAAATGAATTTTGAATGCCAGCCTATGAATGAAGAAGGATGGGAGAGAGCTCAGCAGTTAAGAGCTCTCACAGAGAACCCATGTTTGGTTCTCAGCACACACATGGTGGCTTACAACTGTAACTCCAGTTCCAGGGGACCATCAGAATCCTCTTCTGACCTCCAAGGGTTCCTGCATGCATGTGGTACAGATACACACACTCAGGCTCAGGCTCAGGCATGCACACACACACACACACACACACACACACACACACACACACACTAATAAATAAATGTGAAAAATAATGTAGAAAGAATGATGGCAGAGCAGAATCATTATGTGACAACAGTTGAGGCAGGGGTTATCATAGCCTTCAATGGTAGCAGGTAAAAGTATGATCCAAAAAGGATACAAGTAATATCAGAACTCTGCCTGTAGGAATAGGGAAGAGAAAACATTGAATATGGAGATAAAGCTGGTCATCTTGGGGCTGGAGAAATGTCTTTGCAGTTAAGAGCACTGGCTGCTCTTCTAGATGACACAGGTTCAATCCCCAGTCCCACATGGCAGCTCACAACTGTCTGTAACTCCACTTCCAGGGAACCTGACACCCCCACACAGACACACATGCGGTCAATACCAATGCACATAAAATAAAAATAAACCAATTAACAAACAAACAAAAACTGATCATCTCAAAGCTGGAGAGACAGCTCAGTGGTTAGGAGCACTGTTCTCAACAGAGGACAAGATTCTGTTCCTAGCACCAACATGTGCTCACAAAATTCTCTAACTCCAGTTTAAGGAGATTCAATCCCCTCTTATGTTCTCTGAGGGCAACTGGCACGGATATGATACACTTAATTATATGCAGGCAAAACACTGGTACACATATAGAAAAACCAAACTGTCCATCCCTGTGAGCAGGTGAGCAGCGTGCACCATGTGCCTCCTGGTCCAATGACCCGAAAGTGCAGAACTTCTGCTCTGTAATTCCTTGCTGTGCAGTTTTGCCAAAAATGGGTAACTTGAGTTAGATACTCAGGAAATACAATTATCTAACAATATAAAATTTGAATTCTTTAAAACCAATGAAGGTAAAAATAGAAAATGACTGAAAAAGTGTCCTAGATTGAGGAAGTCTGGAAAGATGTGAAAAATTCAACATATCCTGGGTAGAATACTAAACTAGTAGGGAAAGAGAGTCATTGTTGGGACAGCTGGTATATTTGAATGGGGCCTATGTATAGCTAGCACGATGTTCTGCTGAAGTTCATTTCCTGATCTGGAGGGCTGTACATGCATTACACAGGAGTGTGCACTTGTATCAGGAAATGAGTAGAAGGGAAGAGAGCGAGAGAAGAGGGGAGGTGGGAGGAAAACAAGATTAATGATGACATCTGAAACACTCACCAATGACTTTAACGAAATAAGCATCTGCTTCAAAGTTATTTTTGAGTGTATGAATGGCAGCGTCGTTCTTGGTGTATCCTTTACTCAGTACTATAATGTCCAAGATTCCCTGAGAAAACAAAAATTTAAGAAGAACTACTAGGTGAAAGAGAAAGACCACTGTCTGACTTGTGCTATAGTTTGAATAATAGTTACAGCAAGGGCTGACATGTTGAAGACTTGCTTGGCAGCCTGTGGGAGGTGGGGGGAACTTTTGGAGGTAAGGCCTGCACATGGGTATGTTCCTGATGTCCCTGAAGGGACACTGTGACTTCAGCTTCTTCCTGTCTCTCTCTGCTGCTGGGCTACCACAGGTGAGCTGGCCTCCTCCACCATGTGCTCCTGCCATGAAGCTATGTATGCTACATGGACCAAGAGACAAGATTTAGTGACTGGGGACTGAAACAACTTCATTCTCTTAAGTTAATTTTCTTGGGCAGTTTGTCACCTGTAGGTTGATGTTTGAAAATGTATGCACACAATTTGAATAGGAAATAAAAATAAAGCAGTGCTGGGAAGTAACTGTTAGCATTTTGGTGTATTTCCTTCTGGTCTCACTATATAGCCTTGGCTGGCCTGAAACTGGCTAGCTAAGTTTGTAGATCAGGCTGGCCTCAGACTCACAAAAATCCACCTGCCTCTGCTTCAAGAGTATTAGAATTAAAGGTGTGTACCACCACAATCAGCCCTAAAAGTTTAGATTCATTACTGTGTGTGTGTTGGTGTATGGGTGGGTGGGGTAATGGGGGATGGGGAGTGTAATGTGAAGTCAAGGACAACTTTGGGAATTGATTCTCTGTTTTCACACTAGGTATTGGGGATCCAACTCAGGTTTCCAGACTTTTGGAGCACATGCTTTTTACATGTAGTAGCAGTGCACTACTTAGTGTAGGAATTTTCAGATCCTCTGCAAATTTGGCCAAGTTACCTGTTGTGGTGCTTGTGGCACTGGCTCTACCTTTCCCCCTCCCTCTTTTTTTTTTTTTTTGGTTTTATGAGACAGGGTTTTGGAGGCTGTCAGTCCAGCCTGGCCTCGAACTCACAGAGATCCGCCTGCCTCTGCCTCCCCAGTGCTGGGACTAAAGGCGTGCACCACCACAGCCTGGCTCCCCCTCCCTCTTTAACAAGTAGAAATTCAGTTCACTTTATTGAAGAAAAAAACCATACAGTCATCTAAAGCTGACACTCTTCTGCATCTCAGGATGCTACTCATTTTTTCATTTTATAAATGTTAGCAACATTTTTTTCCTGTATATTGACTACATTTTTCTAGAGAGTTTTGGTGACACACCAGTTTCTATGAATACTTTTACATTAGTGATATGAATTATTTCACTCACTTGTAGCATTTCTATTTTCTATATTTAAAAATAATTAAAATTTCATTTATTATGTTTTTTGACGTATAGAAATTAAAAATTGATTTGTAGACAATTTTGTTGATTTTTTTCTCTTGTATATTTCTATCAATTACTTATGCTTGGAAACTGCTAATGAAAAGTGAAATGAAATGAGATTTGGCAGCAGGAAAAGCAGAAGGAAATGTATGTATCAATAACTCATCATTGAGCATAAGCCTCTTAAACCCAAAGCTAAATAGAACAACAAAATAAAAAGTTAATGAACATATAAATGCCCTAATGGGCTTTTACTTTTTATAGTAAATTATCTTGCAAGGATATATGTGGATAGATATATTCTTCAAAAGCTTTTTCTTCTTCTTCTAAGTAGTAAACTAACTCTCTCTTCAGACAGGTGGATGCCAGGTCCTACAGAGCCTTCTGCCAGCTCACTTGCCATAAAGTGACAGTAGAGATGTGTTGTTTCAGTTTACAAGCGTAGTGAATGCATCTTCTGCACTGTGCAGGTACCCGTGGGGTCTGCTTGTGGTCAGCTGATGAACATGCAGATCTGCTAGTCTGAAAGCACAAGTCAGCAGCAGTTTCTTCCAAACAAGCACAAGAAGAGGTGGCATTCCACATTCAATTACAGAGATCACCATTACTATCATTAGTAGCCCCACCCCATTTAACTTCCAAAGGGATTTTCTTTAACGAACCATTCTCATTCCATTTTCTGGTAAAACTTATGAGGCTACAGTGAGATGACACAGATGACAAACTCTAAACACACAAGATAGTTCTGAACTCACATCTTCATAGATATCAAAAAAGGTGGCAACCATGGCGTCTTTGATTAGATTTAGGCCTGCTAGGTCCCAGTAGACTTTAAACATCCGATGTACTTCCTCACAGCTCGCATTATTGCACGGAACATTCTCCAGTAAAAAGGCTTGCTGATTGCTGTGTGACAGACAAGAGGAAGAACTCAGTTAAAATCAGAGCTGTGAGGCAACAGCTGTGCTTTATCTCCCAGATACTGCGAGTGAAATTCTGGGATTACTGGATGGGATGAGACATGCTCTGTCCTCTTTAATGTGGAGTTCCTACATCCAGCCCTCCTTTATGTTTCCACTGTCATCCACTCTGCCTTGCATTTTAAGTTACTGGAGTAACATTTCTAGTTCTCCTCTCAAACTGAAGCATTCTCTCCTGGAGGAGGCTCATAAGACTCAGTAAAAGTAAAGGAAATTTACAAATCTCAGGAGGATCCTGAAGGTTATTAAAGAAAAAAAAAGAAAACGGTTAGGGAGAGGAGGCCCTACAATTAGGTAGAGCTGTCTGCAGAGGCTACAGTGATAGGGCTTATGTGAATCACTAGGCATGGTGGGCGGGCTATTTCATGCTGGAGCTGCATTGGAGTCACCATGCTCCAGTTAGTGACCCCCACTTACCTATGATCTTCTAACCAACCTCAACACAGACAGTGTTCTTTCGAGAATGAACAGATCTTTGCTTTCATCTCTAAGTCCCACACAGATGTGTATTAATGATCAATAAATACTTGAATTTGAATCACAGACTCTTGATTTCCCAAAGTCTTATCATGCTGTTCACAATTTCCAGTGTAAAGTAACAGTTTACAACAGAAACCTTTAGTGAAAGTCATACAATTTAAAATGCCACCCTTAATGGTTAATATGTGTTTCGTACAGGGAAAGTCAGCATCTTACTTTTAAAAACACAATTTAATTTAAATCTCACAGAGAAAAACTATGATCAGTTTGCTTCTGAAACCTTGGGGAAATGGTCTTGATTCAGTTTGTCTGTATTTTTGGCAATTATATATAATGTACCATTTTAAAATTGTTTTATTCTCAAAATGGTTATAGGAACTATTATAAAATTCAGGCAACAGAAACAATTAAAAAGTGAAAGTAAAAAAATAATTTCTTTCACAGATAACCACTGTAAATGCATTGGCATGCATCTTTTTAATTGTGGAAATACATTGAGAATAATACAACAATAAATGTGGATGTTCAAGTATCTCTATCCCCCTCAACAAAAAAACAGCAGACTTAGTTAGGTTCTGCTACACATACTCTATAACTTTATTTCCTTTACATAATATAGCATACTCATAGAGAAAATGTATATAATCTGATGGAAGAAACAGCTTTGGCATTAACTGAAAACTCCCTCTACAGACACTGCATTATGTTTATCTCCAACCTCCTGGCTGGTCACTTTCAATAGCAACTTCATTATAGCAATAATCTGTCATTTATTTTAACATCTGACCACCCAGAGCTAGTGAGGTCATGCATCTCAGAGGAGAACCTACTATTCCCATTTCACTAGACCAGTATAATTCTCAGTTGCCTTCTAACCCTTATCCTTGCACTCACGGGTAGGTCTTATAGCCCACAATGGTTATAATCAACTGATCTGGGGAAGATCAACCTCAGTGGATGATACATCAACAACACAACCTGGACACCTAAGGCTTAGGGACACTGATGAAGAGGGGGTGAGAAGACTGCAAGACACGGACCAGGAAGTCTCCTGTGAGACTGTGTCTCAGAAATGACAAGGAAACTACACCTACAGTATTTCCACAAAATGGCTGCCTAAAGAAGGTCTGATAACACCACCACAACAGGCATACTTATGTGGGGGAAATCTCACAAGGGTCCCCACAGATAAAGACCAGCAGTCAACTAATGGCTTCCAAGAGAGGAAGAATTAAGTGTCTCCCAGGGGTGAGCCCCCTAATTGGTTTTCCAATACAAAATGGTCTGTCCTGAAATCATATGAGCAATAATACCAAATGGGCTTAGCAGGTTATATTTATATACTTATTGCATCTCCTCATCTCCCTCTCCCCCCCCCTCTGTGTGTGTAAAATAATAATGATCAAAGAAAATGAGACCATTATTTTGACGGGGTCATGGAAGGGATTGGAGGGAGGAAAAGGCAGGGGAGAAGTGATGTAATCAGATTTTAATTAAAAATGTAAAAATGCATACAACAATCTACTTTCCTGTGTGAGTGTGTGATCACACATGCACTGAAACTGGAGTTAGAAACAGTTATGAGTCACCTGTGGTGGGTGCTGGGAACCAGACTGGTCCTGTGGAAGAATAGCAGGCATTTGTAACCACTGAACAATCTCTCCTGCTCCTGTATTTCTTCTCTTGAGAACAGACTATTCAGTTCACCAGCCTACTCACTGACTGGATGATTAGGAATTTGAAGGTTTAGTTTTTATTGTTCTTTATATATTTTCTAGATAATAATCCCATGCTGATATGTTGGCAAACATTTATTTGCATCCTATATGTTGTCTTTATACTGTGCTGAATATTTCCTTTGCTACAAAGTAGCTTTGTTTTTTGTTTTTTGTTTTTGTTTTTTTGTTTTGTTTTGTTTTTTTTTGGTTTTTCGAGACAGGGTTTCTCTGTATTGTTTTGGAGGCTGTCTTGGAACTCGCTTGGTAGACCAGCTTGGTCTCGAACTCACAGAGATCCGCCTGCCTCTGCCTCCCGAGTGCTGGGATTAAAGGCGTGCGCTACCACCGCCCGGCACTACAAAGTAGCTTTGTAACTTCATAGAATCCCATTTCTCAGTTCTTGGGATTATTTACCGTGCTACTGGAGTTCTTTTCAGAGTATTAATTGTTGTGACTTTGGTATTTTGTCAGCACTTCTTCCCATGCAGATCTACTCAAAACAATGAAGAGCATCGAGTGCACACACGGTCAAGCATGCAGACAGATATGAAATGCCCAAGTAAATCACAGCAACCAATAAAATGACAGATATGAAATGCCCAAGTAAATCACAGCAACCAATAAAATGGGAGGACGTACTGGTAAGTTGTTACTTATTAGAGATGTGAATTTATAACATCACACTTTTCAGTATGCCAGCTGGCCAGATCCTCCCACCCTTCCAATACTCCCTACTTTGTCCTTTCTGGGGTGGCCAATGTTCTCAATGTCTCTCAAGAGGTTTTGGAGAGGAGGAAATAACAACATTGAGACCTATACAGGTCTTTCTACTTTCAAAACTCACCATTAGTCACCCCACTGGAGAGATGTGGCCGTGTCAAGTGATAGAGCTTCTGGGTTTTGACTCTGCAGCAATAAACCTCACAGTGGGTAAGAAGTTACAAAGGCTGATCCAACCAACAACCTAAGGTTGGGTGTATCAAACCCCAGCTCTTTGACATCTGGTCTTCAGAACCAAAATGGCTATCTTTCATATGTACTATACTAACCGCCTGGGCGGTTAAAGGGGTTAATAGGGAAACATGAGGCTGGGAAGGGTTAAGAAAATAGATAATAAGAACAAGAGATGTATGAAAAAGCCCAAGAAATCCACTGCTTCATATAGTATCTTTAAAAATTAATAAAACTAATATAAGTTCTTGGGAAAAGCCTCAAAAAGCTGAGTTAACTATGTATCCCTAAAGGGAATTAGCATACTAGTGAAAATACATTAAAATAAGATTAAACCGGGAATGTATAAATTCATCTACTAAACCCATTATTAAGTAGAGGACAAAACATTTAGATAATTGACTAAAACTTGGGTTGAAAGAAAAAACAAATGTAACAGAATTAGTTCTGAAATTCTCTCTGCCTCAGGTGACCAGCAAGCCAAGTTACATTGCATCATTACCCAAAAATGAATTGAAAAAAAAAAAAAGATCATGATGGCTTTAAAACTGTCAAGTAATAGCACACAACAGTGAAATGTGACTTCTGTGTTAGTAAATTCATGCTGACAAATAAGTTGTTGAACCACAGAAAAGCACAACTATCGTGTGAAAAGGTTGTAGGTTTAATATATGTTCTGTGGAAAGCAAGTCTTTTTAAGGTGTGGCTTTCTAGCCAGCACCACAATTCCTCCTTCAGTCTTTTTTTAAAGACTATACATTAGCATAGAGATACAAAGTATGAGATTTTAGTATGACATTTTCAAGCAACATTCCTTTTCCTGCCTCACCTTGTCCCCATCCTCCTGCCCAGAGCCGTCTCTCCACTTTTGTCACATATGTCCCTTTGCCCTCAGCACTCTCTTCTTTGTGGGTTTAATCTACACAGAAAAATAAAACCTACATCTTTGCAGAGAGTCCTTCAAATACTGTTAGTTTCATAGCCTACACACATTTACATACACCTACTTCTACACAAGCCAGACCCCCCCACTCATTCTGTGAGTGAGGACCTACACATCACATGCTCAGAAAGATACAATTTCTGTGTGATTCTTCGCACTCTTTACAACTGTGTTACAAATTCCACAGCATGAAAAGCAGCAACTGAAGCTCTTCTCACCTTTATCTTCTACGTGAGTTCACATATGGGGTAAAAGAAGACAATTTTTTTCTGCTTGGGTTTATATTTTAAATCATTTGCTAAGTTCCTGAGCAGGTTATTTTTGTACCTTTAGTTGACATTGTCTACAGAGTCCTGAAAGGGTGCAGACTCAATAGTACATTCTATCAGAATGTGAGGATCCTGGTCTTTCCTCTTGTTATAACATTTCTTTACCTACTGTTTTTGTAGTACAAACTACTTCTACATTGATTTTAAAATGCCAATTATGGGCCTAAACAAGAATGACAGCAATAAACACACAATAGTAGGTATTTATAAAGTATAGTTATATATAATAGAATATATTTTAATAAAAGTTTACATCTTACACAAGCAAAGGCTTTCAAATCAGTGTGGTAAAAATCATGTAAGTATTGGAGTTATTTCACTTTTGAATCCAACTAAAATATAATGCTTGGTACACTGCAAGAGATCAATGAATAATTTGTGGTTATTAACAGCAGAAGGACAGACAATTTTGCTCTCATAAGCACTCTTCTCTATTGGCTGTCACAAAAGAGGGATGATTACACAAACACACATGTATACCTCAACTTTGTGAGGGCCCGAATAC